ACTGCCTGTCTCCCCACTATAAAAAGGCATGATTTTCAGTGACAGTGAAAATAACCATCCCCAAGACAGAGACATTTAAAATCCATACAGGGATCCACTTTCCTATACCCTGAGCCTTATTTCTTTTTGCAATGTTGGAAGCCACACCAAGCACCCAGTCTGTTGTCTTATTCAGAAGTATTCTTCTTCCAAAGACAGAATTAGTTTCTGTTTCATAACCCTCCATGTTGATATTTCATTGCTATGAATTATTCGGGATTAGTAATGAAATGTGGATCACAGAGTCTGGAGTCCTTTGCGGGAGATGTCTGCTCTGCACTGTTATTTGATTCTCAACAGCATTGTTCTCATTTTATTAAAAAATATTCATTGTAGCTTCTAATTTATACAGCGTCCCAAGTGATCTACTGAATATTCCTCCCATTTTCTGGTAGCTGCACTCATATTTGCTGTACAATTTTGGGCAAGAGCAGGACTCAGAATCCTACTCAAGTAAACGTGCATTGCTCTGGTATCCTCCCAGAAACTTCAGGTATCAGGCAATACATCACTATTTAGTTTCCCTCTTTCAATACCATAGCCTGTAATCTCACTCGGTTCTCACCTCATCCTCCCCTCTTTGCTCATTGACATAAATGACTGTTTTGCTTGAGCACAACTTCAGTGTTTGGCCCTGAGCTTCTACAAGAGCAGCAGCAGTGATGCCTGGAGCAGATGGAACACTCAAGTGCTTCCCTAGCTTATTCGAGGCATCAGTACAGAAAGGGTTTGATTGTGTGATTCATGACTAAAGTTGTGTTGAGGGAAGGAAGGACAGAAGGAGGTCTGTCCAGCACAATCGAGAAGAAAATCTGCAGAATCATCATCACAACCATCCTGCAAACTTACATTTCTCACTGATCCCATCTGGCCTGATCCAAAGGCCACTGGATTTTGGATTTGGACCAATGTGCAGATGCCTTTGCCTATCCAAATCCCGCATAGAATAAAAAATTGGCTCTCTCTATTGGCAGAGGATTTAGCAATAGGAAGAAGTTCAGTCCAAACCCTTTCTCCTTGTGTGGCTGTTCCAAGAGCTCCTAATTCACAAGAGCTCAGCCTTGACCCTACATCCTCCCACTTCTACTGGAGGATCATCTGGCTTTCCGTCAGCATGATGTTAATGAGTAACTCACATGAATAAGTCACTGAGTAGCTGAAGCAAGACATTAAAAAAGAGGATCCCCTCTCTGCTTTGATAGCCAGTTATTAACTAATCGGCGCGGCAGTACTGGGAAGGTGGTAGGTGGTTCTGTAACCCATCATGCCAAAATGTGAAGAGCAGATAATTTTTATTTCATTATGCTCTTGTTCTGCACAGTCTTCAATATTGTCAGAGTACTGTATGAACTTTAACCAATTAATGAAACATGAACTGCTTATTAGGTGACCCTAAAGGTCTCTCCCCTACGATCTGTGAATAACAAATCAAAACCAACGTGCTGCTGGTAAATGTATATGCATGAAATCTTTTAAGACATCATGGCTAAAATAGCTAATAATAAACCTCACAGCATTCTTGAGAAAGCAAAACAGGAGGGGAAAGGAGCCAGCAAAAATAAAATGTTCTTCTGCCAAACACTGCCTAAGCAAGTTAGCATCAGCTAAATGATCAATAGGTCACCATTATGTATGATATTTACATCTGATCTGCATTACTGCATTGCTGTGCTGAAATGTCCAACAAGGCTCGTATCAGCTAGCACTTCCTTCATTAAAATCTGCCTTCATATAAAATTCACCTTGATTTATGAGTTTGCATTCAGTGCTGTACATTTGAATGTAACACTGCCAAACTTTCTACTGTGTTCACCTGCTGGTTGGAGAGCACAGATATTTCAAGATGAAAACAAACTAAAGATGGTTGCAGAAGGCTTATTATTATCAAAGAATGGAAAATAATAGACTTGCGCATATGCTCAGCCTTCTGCTACCATCACGTCACTGTGTATTATCATTTTCTGTTACTGAAAAGTAGTCTACACACCATGTATTTCCTTAATCATGGATTTATTAACTCTTTCACACACACACACATAAGCCTACAATGACTTTGCTTTCATTACCTAAAAAATATTGAGGGAAGTTTTCTTGGTAAATGCTGAATAGAAACTTACTTGGGTTTAGAATCTGTAATTTCAGGTGTCTTCACTTTCATACATATGCATTTTAAATTCAGGTGGGCCCATATCCAAGCTCAGTCCAACCCTTATTTTCCAGAAGGTGAATTTTAGTTCCTCCATCATTTGAATGTTAATTGTGTAGCAACACAATAAAACCACACATGCTCCTTGAAAGCAAGAAAAACTCCCTCCTGACCCTTAGAAAAATCTGCCATTTATTCCTAAATATAAAACTGGCTAATAACAAGTTCTGTAAGTAATTACACAGCACAGAGCACACAGAGCCTTCCTCTTACTGCACTAACACTATATTCTTCAAGGGAACACTAAGAAGTGGCAAATTTGTAGTATTAAATGAGACATTTTCAGGCAAGAGATTAAGAAAGAAGGGCCAATAGAAAAGATGAACATAAGGAAATATTCAACAGGAATAGAGACAAGGGAATAGAGAATCTGATAAACAGATTTTATCCTTTCTGTAAATCTCTTTGCCTCATTCACCACTCTGAAAGAGTATGACTGTGAGCTCTTCTCAGCAAGTAGCCCCTTGCTCCTAAACATTTAGTTTTGGTCTGTCCAATGACTGCAGATTTATGCACTTGAACTCTTTCACTTCCTAACATTCTATAAATAAGTCCCATCTGGTCTATCTCTTCTTGTGTCCAAGTCCCTTCTCCCCCCAGACTAACTCATACAGTTCCAGTTAGCTAATGCCTTCCTTTAAATAAACTAGACTTTTCAAAACTTGATCTAATGCCTGGGCTCTTTATGTCCCTCGAAAGAAGACTCTAACAGCTGCTCACTGTTACTACACACTAGATCAAGTGTTCAGAGATGGATCTATCAAAGAGGTCAACTCCATCCTGATACTACATTAACTAATCTGCTGCTATTTTAAACTTTGCTTAGCTTTGTTATTACTTATACTCCACTGCACCACTCGGCATAGACATATTGCATTTCATAATCCATTTACCCAACTGATCAAGATCATTCTGCAAACAACTTCATCTTTTTAAATTTTAACCATTCTTCCTATTTGAGCATCATCTGATAACATATGATAGCACAACATAAATAATGAAGAAAATATTAACACAAAGCCAACCCTGTAACTACCTGCTTTTTGCCACAAAAATAAATTTGTCTCTTTACTTCATTGTTTGCTGTGTAAGAAACAAGGGGATACTCTTGCTCATCTCTTCATTCCTGCAAGCTTTTCTCACCTGGGTCTTCCTATTGACTTTGCCACAACTACTCACATAACTGAAAGTATTACTCTCATAGTTTGAAGCCTCCAGGATCAGGTCCCAGTTCTTTACCTGTCTTAATAATTTATTACCTAACCCGTATATGCAGAGTGTGTAGAATAATACATCCTGTGAAACTTTGTTAAAAGCTTCTGAAAATCCCAATATGTCTGCTGCTTCCCTCCTATCTAGATCAATATTTATTTAATTTAAAAAAGGAATCCAATTTGCTTGACGTGATTTACTTTCCACAAATCCATGCTGACTCGCATTATGATGCTGCACCCTTATTAAACTTCATGCAACTGTAGCCTTATGCTGCTAGGAAATATATTTTTGAGACTGCATTTATAGGCAGCGGGATCCTCTGAGGGGCTGCAATGCCCAGCACAAGGAATTCAGCACATGCTTACTGCCAAACCGGTCTGCTAATTTTCCAGCTCAAACTGCTTTCCCTTAAAACAACAAAACAACATTGACTCTTTTCAAATTATTTGACGCAAGCTCTTAGTTCTGATGCACATTCTCATTGCAAATCATGGCCACGTACCAGGAGTTGTCCTGTGCCCAGCATTACACAATCCCTATGTAGAAGCAGTCCCCAACACCCAGGGAGTTTAGACTATGACTATGGTCACACCATTGATCTTATTGTTGGGTCTAGTCAGAAGTCAGGCCAGATCAGCAGAAACAGACAACCAAAATGTCAACAGCCCATAGCTATACGAAGGAACAAGCAGCTTGCAGGGCTTCCCTCTGTTTTGTGTTCATGTCCTAAATAATGCTCCACACTGTTCAAGTGACCTTAGGCAGGCTATTCTTACTGAAGTGACATGAAGCCCCTTCACCCATCCCACTGCTCACTTTTCTGATCCCACACTTCACATGGAGACTGATGTTCAAATACAACAATGCATTACTGTCCCAGCGTATTGTCCCTTCCACCCTTAGTCCTATCTTCTCTGATGTTCTCTTTAGCACACAGACATGCCAACAGAGTATGTCACTTCAACACTCATCTTCTCCTAAGGCTTCAGCTCCTAATTCTGCTGTTACGATTGAATTCTGCATGGCTGCCTGGAGTAAGTTCTGTCCAGTACTGATAGCAGGGGCAGAACCCTTTCCGCGTTCTCATTCTCTCCAATTTGGCAGTTCCCAAAGCATTTCCAGAATCTCATCCTACCAATAAGCATTTTCCCAGCTATTTGTCTAATGAAGTTTCCATTTTTATTCTTCCTCCCCTCCGTTTCCTCTTACCACGCACTAACAACGCACCAAACTGAGCTCTTTCTGATTTCTTAGAGGACAATTGGTACACATACAATAGTCAGAATGGGCTGGGGTATCTTGGTATGTACTTGCCAGACTGGCATTCACCAGGACTGTGAACAGAACAAAATCCCATTGCAGTAATGGGACTTTTTAACACCCCTTTATGACAGTGCAGCTAAATGCCCCTTCAACCCCACGTATAATGCCAACAGCTGAGCAGAAAAAAACAAGCCTACCCAATTCCAACCCTGACTTAAATACAGAATTTTTTCGGTAATATCAAGCTGTTTGTGGTATTTCTCATCAAGTACCCTACCTTGAACTCCATAGGGGTGTACTTCTCGTTCTTGGGGGTTGTGTTGCCCTTGTAATGGAGATGGTTGGGAGTGGTCGGGTGGATAACAGTCGACTCCTGGGACTGCCTCTGACAGCGCTGGCAGTACACGTAAATCACAAACGTTAAGAGGCTAGAGCCAAAGAAACAGGCGACCCCAGTGGCAATCAGATGGATGAGACTAAAACCTGCAAGGGAAATGACAAGAGATGCTATTTTTAAAGAACAGCCTTTTTCCCTCTCCTGACAAGACCACAGGTGCAAATCAGAGCTATGACATCTCGGGATCAACGTTAATAAGCTGTTGAAGCCAGAGTCTTACGTTCTAACATAAACTGACATAATCTCCCTGCAAATCGGTCTCCCCACTGCAGCTCTGCCTTGTGCCGTTTAACAGGTTCATGCATTGTTTTCTCAAAGCTCCCTCCCTGTCTCTCTTCGTGCCCCTCTATTGATATTGAAACTAAACATTATGTTAAGCTGACAGCTAAAGAAATGAGCCTTACAAACAATGCACATTAATGGATTCCAAAGCATGTGTGTGTGTCATGGAAATAAGGGGATAAAACTGCTCAGCGCTTCTCTGAAGGGGAAGGAAGGGAGGGGAAAGCCCTTTTTGTTGGCTGCCCAAAATGCCTACGGGACTGTGTGTGGGGTGGGGGAGATATACATTCCTCCCCCATGTAATCCAAGTGTGCTCAGCATTCTTGCTTATTCACGGGGCAGCACTGCCTTGGCCATGTCTGCGCTACCTCTGAGGTGTATTTGGATAGCTAACAATCAAACAGGGATCCTCAGGGGAATGGGAAAGATAAAGTGGAAAAAGGAAAGGGGGGAACTGCTTCAAAAACACTTCTTTGCTGGCTTTCTCCACAAACTGCAAAGATAGGAAGCCAGTTGCAGGCAGGTGCCGGAGGCGTAGCTACAGTGCAAATATTTCAAACAGAAAAGTTCTCGGACTATAAAAGCCTCCTACAGAGATCTCTCTGCATGGGATTGCAGCAGCACCCTCCAAGCGCAGCGCTGACCTCTGGAAGGAGCAGCAGTTGTGTACCCCACATGACGGGAAGTTCTTAACTCACAACTCCAGCTGGTGGGGGGGAGACAAAGTCAAATAGTGCTCCTCATTCCTCCCTGATGTCAGAGTGTCTCAAACCCCACGGTAAACCCAACCAGCACCAGATCTCCACTGACAACAGAACAAACAGTAGAGGCCTTTACGGCCACCAAGTTAACGAAGCAACCAGAGGCAACCTTGGGTGGCAAAACTTTATGACCCTATTCTTTTGCTCTATGCAGGGGAGAATCTACAGAAAAAGAATCAGCAATGATGAGCACCAATGCTACGCTGCCTTTCCTCTGCCTTTGCTTTGCAATCTTTCATACAGGAGGGGACCTAGTGCCTGGGGGGCACCCCTGACTGCTGCCCCCCCAGGGCAGATGTCCCAGGGGACAACCACATTGGAGACTGTAGTGGTAAAATTCTTGTAATACTTAAAAAGCCAATTCATTTAGACAGGCTGCTGTGTTGACTTGACTGTGTGCAGAGAAATGGAAGGGACTACTCAGAGTGCGGCTTTAAATGAGGTTCATTCTTATTCTGATCACAGTGTGCAATTTTTTGGTGCCATCTTACATTTTAACTGATATGCTTTTCAAATAGAGAATTCTGCCCATTAGTCTACTGCTCTCCTCTAATCTTTAGTTAAAAAATATCCTCCTGAGTTTAAAAAGAACAAAACCAATAGAGTTCTACAGCTAAGTAATGGACTTCAATCATAATTACAGTAAGGAACACACAGAATTTATTAGACTGAAGAGCTACATTTATTTTTTAAACCACCCTATAAAATTCTACTGCAAGATTACCACTTTATATTGTGTTTTGGATGATGGTTCAAAAAAGCAGCAGAAAAATTATAATTTCCTACAAAATGCTACAAGACTTTTCCAAAAAGACCTTTCCTTTCCAAAAACCTCCACCTACTTTACGCCACCCATGAGAGCTAAACCACAGAGTATGCAACGGTGTTCAGTAAAGCCTCATGACACTCTGTCACATTCTCCCCATGTCCAGCTTTGCTTATATTGCAGTGAATACTTCATTTCACCGCTACATTTGCAAATCACTACAGTAGAAAATCCTTTCTAAAACATAAAGCTCTCTTACATTTTACCTTTGAAAGACCCACCTGATTTTTCAGGTGACTTTTAGCTGTATCTTAGGGAAAAAACAAATTATTTTGTTTGCAGCATGTGAGTCCCCAGAGGGGAAGCTTTCTAGTTCATCATGAAAATATAGATTTTCTGAGATGCGTCAACAGAATTTCTATTGATTGGCTTCTTTGCCAAATATTGTAGAACACTAAGTAATAAATAATATTAGCTATGGTAAAATGTAGATTGAAACGGCAAATACAATAGCGGTGGTAAAAGAAGGAAACGTGGATACAGTGCACAACAGTAGAGTGCAAACCATAGCAAGGAGTCCTGGAACTGAAGCAGATACGTGGCACCCTTTAAGGGAGGAGCATCACAGAAAGCCAACTGTTACATTGCAGGTGCTGAAATCTTAATTCCACTGATTACCCCACAGTCACAAACTGAGAGGCCACGTTTCCATGCCACAGGTGGCAGGCCTTTTTTTGCCATGATCTCCACAGGGAGAAGAGATTTTGGCAGCCTGCATATCATCTAGATTTCAGGAGAGCCGGGATGTGACACCAGCAGGAATTGACATGGTCATTAGTGTGAAACTAGTTTTTTTAAGTGTTAGAGGAACCTGCCATTTTCTTCAGTCTGCATTTTTATTGTAGAGGCTCTTAGGGCAGTGGAAAAGTGACACTAATGACTGGATCTTTCCAAGTTACATGCAAAAAGGAGACACGACTTCTGTGAGAGATGAGGACTTGAATGAAAGGAGGTGCTTGGAGGACAAGTATAAACTCTAATCTCATCATCTATCAGCAAAGAATCTAAGAGCTCCTGTTCACTGAAATCTTTATGGGTTATTTAAAAACACCTGCCTCCAAACAGCTGGAGGCTTACAGTGATGGGATGAGGAATATCCCTTCCTTTCTGCTGAACCTTTTACCCTATGGATAGAGAGAGACAAGCATTGTGCTCTCTGTTAACTAATGACCCTCAGTGGCCAATCCAAACGTTGAAATAAATAAAAATCTTGGAACTGACAAGTGGACATGAGATACATTCCTCCAGTCTGACTCAGACAGTGAGACTCCACTGGAATTAAAGCTATCAGTGGGATATAAGCTGTATAGATTAATGGTTTGGTTGATACTGCACAGGGAGAAAAAAAGCCATGTTAAGCTAAAAATAAGATATATAGTTAGTGGTTCCTACCTCCGCAGTTCGTGCTCTCATCAATGCTGGAGGCTGGCAGGATCACTAAATAAAGAGAAGATGGGAGATAGTTGTCATTTTACCATCACTTAACTTCTTTAAGTAATTAAAGCCCCCGTGCTCCAGACACGAGAAGTTGCTCGTGTGTTCTGCAGCATGCTGAGAGTCTCTCTAGATTGAATGATAAACTCGGAGTGTGAAACACATCCAACAATACCTCTCCAAAGACCTGACAATTCCAGTACTGTTACCTGATCACTGTTCAGCTGCTTTGATTTAGGGGAAAGAAGACAGCTGAAAAAACCTTGAAAAAGAAGTACACCATTCCCTAGAGATCTCAGATTTTTAAGTCAGGGCACTGTAATCCAGAAAAGAACACATAGGAAGGGATTACTCAGTCTAGACCCGTATCAAATACTGCCTGAGAGATTAATTTTCCACAAAACACGGGTTGGAAGATGTTGATGACCATCTGTCCATCAACAGTGTCGTTCCATCAGACCCTTGATTAATCTCCCCACTTCACACACCAATTTTCTCCATCTGCCTCATCTAATTTCTTCGCTCTTTTGGGATGCTTCTTTTGATACCTGAACTCAAGGACCTTCTGTTGCCCTTATCCATACTGAGAACAGAGGTAATTTTTATAGCCCAGCCTGAGATGAACTATGCAAAGTTAAAAGCTTCAATTCAGGTGAAGCAATACTAGTTATTTATTAGAGAGCTAAGTAACTCTGCTTTAAAGAAAAGCTAAGCTTCCTTAAAGGAATGCCAGTTACCCTTCCCCTGCCACAAGGGAGTTTATAACATGTTTGCTTGTTTTTCTAGAAGCATCCAAATGCAATTTGTAGTAGAGAAAATCTCAGCCTAGCTTGACAGTCTGGGCACGAGCTGCTCTCCTGAATTGGCCCACTCCCTCCCTCCTCGATGACACTGTACATACCAGGAATTTCATTATACAGGCACTCTTGGTACTGTGTGTTGTTTCCGACGCACTGAGAAGAGTCTGGGCTGTGCACCTCGCAATAACGGCTGCGGTATTGGATGCCCTCTTCATTACACAGGCTCCACTCTGACCACTCTGACCAGCCACCTGAAATCCAAGATCAGGAAAACAAACAGAAAATGTCACCAAGAAGGGAAACGATTCCTTGTAGATACCAAACTTCTCCCATCCTGAAGGATGTCTAGATCCTAGCCTAGCCCTCTCTCGCACATCTAATCCAGGGCCCTTAGTGGATTTAATTTTCTCAATACAAATAACAGTGCAAGCATCATACCCTATTTGTCAGGTTGCAGTTTCCTTAATGCAAACTGAACCAACCCTTGGTGGAGCACTGCACATCATGGAGTTGTGTTAAACATTCCTATAGCAGCTCTCTGGTTAAAGACACACAAGCAGCTGGATGGGGCAGTTTTGTACCAGGACCTCCAAGCTTTGAGGTGGCCTCCCAGGGATACCTCAAGTAGCCAGGATGAGTTACAGCAGGTAGGGAGTTTTTCTGAGTTTCCTAAGGGTAGGAGTCAACATGCGAAATATGAGAAATATGAGAAATACCCAAAGGTGGTTCAAAACCAGCACAGATCTAAACCCCATCCTCTGCACTGTAGCACATACTCATCTGCCTGTGTAAGAAAAAGGAAGGATTGTCCCTCCAGCAGCTGTACAGATTGATGCTTCATGACTTCTTTTGTTTGTCTTGTAAGCTTCCACACGAACAACTAAGACCCTGCTTTTTCAATTACTTTAAATGGATCAGTCGTTAACAAGATTTTGCCTGTCTGGCACCAGAATGCCAGAGCATGGGCTAGTGAACAGGTAAAGAGAAAGGTGATGCATTGCAGCTGAACTCTGGGATGTCTCCTTTCCCCCTGGTTCAACAGACATTTACTGAATGGACAGAAAACCTTCTAATTGGTGGTGTATCTGATATATTTTTTTTAAATATTTTGCAGATGTGCCTTACTCCCACCACCACCCAAGCGAGCTGGAGCAGGGATGAGAACTGGCTACCTTCACATGGGTGCGTGTTGCAAAGGGCCTCCTCAGTGTGCAGACCAATGCAGATATCCTCTCCACTAGACGGAGCCGGATTGGTGCAAGTCCGCGTGCGCTGGTAGTGTCCTCCTCCACAGGTCGCTGAGCAATGAGACCAAGGAGTCCAGCAAGACCATGAACCTTTCACTGAAGGACAACGAAAAGCAAGGAGAGAGAGAGAGATGCCGTTGGTTACTCCTCTCACTGTCACAAAGCTGGAAAGCCCCAGTATCTTGCCTTCCAGATCCACCCTGCCCAGACTAGCTAACAGCTTCTTTCACCCCAGGACATTTGACCCTTACAACAAGAACTTCATATCAAGAGAGGGTATGAATGTGCTGCTATGAAGTCTACGCACAAAAAGACTCTACATCAGAAAGTGCCAAAATAAAAAGCATTCCTTAGGGTGATCATTGAAATATTACATGCTATCCTATTCTATTCTACAACTGTTTATAAAATAGTGTTGTTATTACATTGTCTCCTGATGCTTCACCTATAGCAACAATAGATTTACTTTGAAAAAAAGTGCTCTACAACCTAAGTGGAGCTTACATGGCACCTTTCTATGGGACCCCCGAGTCCACTAGTTCCACTCTTCAGTAAACAGAACCTCAGAGGCTTTATTTATTGTCCCTGCTCATTGCAGGTGGGGTTGGACCAGATGATCTTTAAAGGTCCCTTCCAACCCAAACCATTCTATAATTCTATGATCTGACCACAGCCCCATAACAGAGGAATAATGAAACTAGGGAGGGGCTTAAGATCCCTGATTCCCCCGGACTTTGTCAGGCTACTACCGCCTGATTTGCAGGTTCCACATACCATTAATTCAGAAGATAATAACCTGATGACTTAGTGCAAGATAAACCCGGGATTTGTGTATACACATTGAGTGAGGCAGGGAAGGAGGGAGACACAGAGAAATAGTAATCATGCACTCAGAACAGATCGTAAAACATCATAGTGTCCAAGGGGAGAAAACAGCACAGAAGAAGGGCACAGACATTAGTGAAAAGCCACTGAGAGCTTCCAAAATAGTACTAATAGCTGCCTTTATAGTGCTAGAGTTATTTTCTTTTTATAGGCCATAGAGCGCAATATTTGACACTCTTGCTACACTCTTGCTGCACATTCTGATCATATCTGCATTGGAATTTTATCTTTGTATTGAATTTTAGAATCATAGTGCTATTATAATATAACACTTTCAAGTGTAGGCCACAACTATATTGCCAGAAGCAGATAATTGCTAGAACTGCAAAGAGGCAAGGTAATTTGTGTAAAATCGCTTAAATTTAGTTTAGATAGTTCTTACAGAGCTAGGAGAAGGATAAATGAGAGAGAATACAGTAGTCAATGGTCTATTATTACTATTCTGGACCAGGGGTGCAACATAAACATGAGGACAAACTCGAAAACCAGGAAACCAGGCAAGAATACTCCCTGCTGGCTGTGCAGGAAATGGTAACTGATGTCAAGAGTAGATGCCCATCGCAAGAACAATACGTAAGCAGGAGAGGGGGAAGAAACAAGTGTTCACAAGAAGAACCGCCACATCAAGCATCTCTACACAGTATTAAGCCACATTAATTAAGCTTGTATCCTCATCAAGGTGCAAATGCACCGTGATGCCCTCCACTGGATGGAGCATCAAACCTTCTAGAAGCAAAAAACTGCTAGACCAGCCACGATACTACTTCCTGTAGAGGATGTGGCTGTGTTACCCTCTGAGCTGAGGTGAAACATAAGTCATAGCACTAAAGATGACATACATGGGTCATTACAATAGCTTTAAAAAAAAATAAGGAAAAATCCCCCAAATTAAAAAAAAAGGCAGCTTGGAAATACGGCTTTTTATTTTTTTTATGTGGCTCTACCATTAAGATGGGAAAAAACACCTCTGAATTTCATGCAGGAAGATGATCATGGTTACCTGGGCAGGGATGCGGATTGCAGTCTTGGTATTCCATCGCTGACCCCACACAGGGCAAGCCACCATTTTTAGGTTCAGGGTTTGTACACGTTCTCTTCCTGATCCTAAAGCCCAACTCACAGTCCCTGGAACAGGAAGACCAGGCCCCCCAAAAGGACCAGCCCCCATTGATAATCCGTGCAGAGGTCTTACCAGTCTTCAGGAGGTCATCAACAAGAGCTTCAGGGAAAACAAACAAAACACCACAAGATCACAAATTAATCAGTTGCTGGGCTTTTTTAAAAGGGTGTCAGCTCATGAATAAAATCGGGAATTATGTGCCCCATGGAAGAGTTTCTGTTGAAAACCTTTAGCAAGAGTTTTGTTCCACAGGGTTACAGCTAAGCTAGACATGAAATCTGCACACACACAAACTGAGTCTACTGATAACCTTGATAAATGGCCTTTCTGGGCAGCAAACTGTGGCAGTCGAGGCTGTGCCCTCAGAACACTGCCTTGTGTCACAGCAGTACTGAAGGGAGTAACCCCAGAGGCAGTGCACAAGGGGACCTCCAGAGAGAAAGAATAAAGACACATTGTCCCGTAGAATGGCTTTTCTCTTCTCTACACCCTCATCACTTGCCTGTTCTCTTTAGGGCAGCCTGGCAGTAGCAAGAACAAAATCTATACAATGCCATAAGCATAGAGCTCACAACTGTATTGATCTCTAAGTCACAGGGCTCTCTCCATCCCCGTCATTCTGCAGTGACACAAGTTGTACATGACGAGACTTGTGCACAACCTGACACAATCAGGTTCTTGTTGTTATGAGAGAGTCCCCCTTCCACCACCAAATCTAGGCTTGCCCTGTGGTCCCCCCAGAGCTGGCAAGACGTACAGTCAGTATCACACACTGCTGAGCCATCGTTGGGACAGAACCGACTCTCAGTTTTCTTCCTCCCAAACTGCAGCTCGTGGGGATCGGATAGTTGGGCACGACACGTGTAGCGGAAGCGCTGCTCCTGGCGAGCACCATTCTGGGTGATGTTGACAGGCATCCAAGGGGTCCAGGGTGTGTTCCTGCGCACCTCCGGGCAGCTCTCCGGGTTACAGGTCTTATATTCCTGCCAAGAAGGAAAACCACTCTCTCCTTACTTATTAGGCAGCAGCAGCCTAACTGACACTTATTTACACTCCAGAAAATAAGGCGATACCATCTGGATCTAAAACAACCTCCATCCACCTCATCTGACCTCAAGCCAGTGCTGGGCAGAGGACAAAATGTGGTGACTATGGAGGCAGTGGTGGCGCATAGCTTCAGATGAACTATGCTTGATAATTTTATGTCTCCCTCAAGTTTATGTTTCTTTGCTGATTCAAAGTCCTGTGAGGCTTTAAAAGCTTAGTACATTAGGGGCAGGAGAATAATTCAGGCAATAGATAATAATAACAGCAAAAAGGTTTTCTGCTGTGACCCTGAGATGTTGCTCTCAGGTCAGCCCAGGGGAGCCCCCTGAGGACAAAATGTTAGTAAGGTCTATTCCTTGAAAAGGTTATTGTTTTGTTTTTAAGACAGGTTTAGGTTATCTCTTTTTATGGCTATTTTTCTTTGGTAGGCCTTTTGAAATCTCTGGTGAGGACCATGAACTGTTTGCCACCCTTGATGGAGAAATGAGCATTCTCTGAGTACAGGCAACATTCTGGCTGGATGGGAATCAGGTGATTTAGGGCCTTTACAATTCTTGCCACTAGTGGGAGGAATTCCAGTGACAAACATTGCACTCTTGTTTAAAAATAAATAAATAAACAAACCAGTCTTTTCTGGCAGAGGGAAAGAAATGTAATGCTTCAGGACTTTATGATTCTAGAGTAAATGCCAAACAGCTTGTGAACAGATGGGAGGTTCCAGATCAAATCTGCTTGCACTGAAAGAAAACTCTCCATAAAACTAATTAAAACAGCTGCATGGAACAGCTGCCAGAAGAGGAAAGGGAAAACAAAGAGAGAAAATGGGTAGCCATTGCCTCACTGATGGGTTAACTAGGTGTTTGACCTGTTGTTTACTCAAGTATGGCAGTAAGACTCGTATCTGATGCATGAAGGCCTTCTTGACTCAATGAGAGTAGGATAGAAGAAAAAAAACTTATAGTGCCTTCAGGCAAAGAACTTGATACCTTAGTCCACAGAGACCTAAGAAGTCCTCTGTATGCCAGTCTGTCCTTACCTTTATGTACACACACACACATACATACTGACACATACATGCTTTTCACACCAGCTTCACTGGCTTGGGAATCTGCCACCCCTCTGCTTCCCAGCTCATTTCAGCATCCTCTCCAGCAAAAGCTGAGAATAGCATTTTCTTGTAGCTTAAGAAATAAAACCAAGATGGAGGGAGGAGTTAAATACCAAGTTCCTAGATGTTAGATGTCAATAGGTGCCCCTTATGCAATGTCAATAAAAAATACATACCACAGCACAGCCTGGACATGTATTTCCATTTTCACAGGACCTCTGCCTTGAATGAATCCCTCCACCACAATTCACGCTACATTTATTCCAAGGACCCCACGAAGACCAAAAAATTGGTAATGGACACGGACTGTTCTCATTGCAGAACCTGAAATAAGAAAGCACATTGCTCAAAAGTCATTCATGTCAGCACATCGGAGAGACAAAATGGTGATGGATACAGGACTACACGCTGCATTTGAGTGCAATTCATGCAGGCACAGAAAGGCAGCAGAAGGCTGACACAACAGTCAGATTAGCAATATTCCTGCTCATAGAACTGTACCCTTTGTTCAGAACAGGGGGAGTGGTTAACCAGGCTGAACTCACTGAGACAGTTGGAATAAATGGTCAAGATCATGTTTTTTGGAAGTGCTCTGAGCTCATAACTTTTATGCACTGAATTCACAAAAGAGCTCATAAGATGCGCCCTTGTATCATAAAGAGAGACAGTGAATGGTAAATATTTCCAATGGGATGACTAGTGAGAGGTCAGCCCAACAGTGATCTGTCATGAATGGCAGGTGTAAACGCTTGACAATCATCTTTTCTCCACACTATCCAGTCCCTACTGCTGCTTGGACCCTGAAAAACTAGTGTTTGTAACTGGAGCTGAACTAGATGCTATATCCATCTAAAAGCAGGCCCTAAATTAAAGCTATTTCATGTTCCCTTTTCAAAAGGTAACTTTAATTTTGTTCAGCTTTTTAATCAATATTGTTCTCAAATTGAATCACACAGGACTGCAATTGACTCTGATGTAGTCTTTAAAACCCAAAAAGGACCATTCTGAATGGCCACAAATCAAACCAAACATTAAAATGTCTGAATCAAGGAAGTTAAATGAATTGCCCTTTGTATTCTGAGAAATGCAGAGAGATCTGTCTTAAGTGACCACTCAGGGGACAAGCAACAGCCTATTGCCAAGCAGAGGTGGCCTTTAATGAAATGTCAAATCTGGAAACCAAATTGGGATGTCTTGAAGCATGTGTTTAACGAGGGGCCTGACCTGAAGAAGTGTAATAGTGCAGATGGCTCTGTAGGTTCAAAAAGTATTTTCTTTTATTGATTTTCCATGAAATTTGCTTAGTTTAGAGGGGAAAAAAGATGTCTTTCTGTTGCCAACCCCTGCAAAAACTCAACCCCAAGTCTGTGAGTTAAGCTGTATTTTGTCTTGAACTTCTCTTGATGCGTCAGCACAATTCATAGAGACTCAGGAATGGTGCAAATGGTGATGGAAGCTGCACATATTCAACTGCCTCCTCAGGGACAGATCAGAAGAGTGTAACTGTATCTATAAACTCTACACTGCTAACAGCAGGCAAAGTTTCTCCTTTCATTGAGGAGGTCAGCCCTCTGTTTGGGAGACAGGAGAATACTTGTGAAGGTCTCAAAGGTCCTACTTGAGAGAGGAGGCAGCCCTGAAGTCTCTGATGGCCACAGGCTCATTGAAAGAGAGTGGCAATGCATGTGAGCAACCTCACCCCTCCCAGGCTCCGGAATTACTTCCACATTGCACATTCTGCCAAAGAGCCTTAATCTGCTTTCATGTAAGAGCCACCACTTCCAGCTGCCAACATAATAACCACAGAAGTGAACACATGGCATTGTGGACATCTCTTACCTTTCTTCCCTGCTCTGTCCAACGCAGACCCTGCCCCCGTACCGTGGAGAAGGGTTGCTGCAGGATCGCTGGCGGACCTGAAAGCCAATCCCACAGGAGGTGCTACAAGGGGCCCAGGAAGACCAGGGTGTCCAAGCGCCATTTCTAATAAAAGAGGTGAGAAAGAACAAAGTATGGGGGTGACCTAACAGTCTGCACATATCATGCTGTACTCAATAACAAAACATATAAGACACTGATGGGGGAATGGCTGAACTCATTGAAGACGAGATTATTCATTTCAACCAGACTTTGCATCAGCAGAGATCTAGAAAGCAGAGTTTCAAAAGTACTTAGTATTGGCTTAACTTTCCTACCATTTAAGTCTTTAAGAACTGGAAAGGAAGAGAATGAAGCCAATGCTGAATGATTTTGAAAATGCCTCCTAGCATTTGCTGAGCAACAGTGTGGTTGCTATAACTCTTACTGACTATTCTCCCTTCATCTCCCCCATGCCTCATAACCTACCCTTTCTGAAGCCATGGCTGATCCCAAAGTTGTATCTCCTGGACTCTTCTGCACAAACAGTGCATGTTTTGAGGCTCACAAATATCAGTTGTGCCAAAGGATGTAAAAAAACCCTACCCTCTGCTAATTCAGTACGTATTGATGCTTTAAATCTCTTATAGCACTACTGGCAGCTCCAATGGCTTTTATCACAAAATTCATAATATTTGGTGTTTTCCTAAAGCCTTTAGCATTGAATCCTATTAAGTGAAAATCTCAGATTTCATTAAAAATAACAATAATTGCTTCTAGCTTTCATGGCCGCCTGCAGACGCCACTGTAGTGTGACCTTAAATCTGTACAAACCAGAAGGCAATTAAGAGCTCAGAGGCAGGATCAAGTCTCACGCTTTAATGAGTGACCACATCTCCGCTGAGCAGCGGGGTAACTTCGCCTGAAGCAGATGTGACGTCAAACCTCTTGGTTCACACCTCGAGATTCGGGAAAGGCTCCGCGCCTCGGTCCTGCCACAGGCTGAGCACGTGCAGGCGGCCGCCATGCGGGAACTCAACCGCATGCCCACGCAGAAGCCAACATTTTCACCTTTAAAAATCTCACATTCATTAAGGCTCACCTTCCTCTGATTTGGCAGTGCTACCGAACCTTGGAGCAGGAGAGGAGGAACTCTGTCTCATCTCTTCTGCGCTGCAGGTTTCATTTTGAACAGAGCCAGTGGAAATGCTCTGTCTTACAGAACTGCCTAATCTTGACACTTTACTGCCTTAAGCCAAAAAATCTCATTTGTTTTGGGTTTTTTTTTTATAAAGAAAAAAACCTTTCTAAAAAGTCTAGTCAAAAAACAACTCAGGTGCTCTCTCGTTCTTGAAGGCTTAGCTTGAAAACAGATGTTAATTTTCAAAGCATTTACTGAACTAATAACACTGCTGGCAAGAAATATTTCCTGGCATAGCACCAATCAGGGCAGAGGATGAAAGTTAAAACCCACATTGCCCTTCACACTTTCTGTGTTTGTTATCAACTCTTGCCTGTTCTTGGCAGCTTTATTTCAGAACCTTGTTAGATGTTTCTCCCCTCCTCCTCTTGTTCTCTCATCCCTCTCCCTCCTTCCCTTCCCCTCTTCCACCCCAAACAAGGTCAAAAAACAAGAAACTCACTTATATAAAAATCCTACTATCTGTCTTATTCTGCCATGTATTAAGCCACCTACTACCTCTCCATTCCTTAACCCAAAAGAAAGATTATATGTAAAATCACAAAAAGAAAAGATAAAATGGAAGGTTGCTGTTGTTGCAACAAAAAAGGGAAAGTAATTTCTACTAAAAACTCCTCAAAAAGCCAACAATTACCAGCATCAATTTATGTTTCAGGATTTTTAGCAGAAATATAGACACCTTCCATTTTCAGACCTCCAGCTTTCTAATAGAACTCATCTTTAAGCATCATGCTCCCTCTGCAAAAAAGAATTCTCAATGCCAGATGAAGTCAATTAAAGGAAATTTGAGGGCTGAGGCGGATGTAGGATGACCAGATGTCCCTATTTTTCAAACCATGCTGTTTTCCTGTGTCTTAAGATTGAATAATCTATTTTTCATCCCCTTCTTAGAAGCTGTTCCTGCCTCTTTTGCCATCAGAGCAGTGCTGAGAAACCCTTCCCACTGGCACGCTTTCCATTTGCCGCTGACATAAAAAGCCTGCCTGGGGAAGGCTCTGCTCCGCTCAGCCCACGGTGGCAGCACAGGGGCAGGAATGACTGCACGCTTTTTGGGCAGCACAGCCCACAACTGGAAGGAGAGGTGCCAATTAAAACATGACTATTGCTGAAATGTTGATGCCAAGACCAGCAGTGGTCTCCAGGGAGGAGTCAAAGAGACAGCTGTCCTTAATGGCATGAACATTTATGGAGAAGATAAAGTAGATAAAAACTGTATTGACCCAATATTTACCAGAATATTGACTGGCCCCACCCTGGTTAAGTAGTGCTTACACTATTGCATCGTCTTTCCTTGAGTCATGACATGTGGTCTGAGGGTGGTAGGGTAACATGGACACAAACATGGTTGGCTATGTCAACGGGAGGATATTTAGCTTCCATACTGCTCAAGCAGGAGCTTCAGGCTTCCCTGGAAAGGCAGCCCTTTGACAGAAGCCGAGCTGATGCGTTGTTTCAGTGGTGTCCCTGGCAGGCACACCTCCTAAGCGCCGCTCGCTGCCAGGCGATGAGCTGTGGGTCTCACCTGGGCAGCGTGCTGCAGATGGCTCTCAGACCCACAGAACAAGGCCAACAAGCCTTGCTCGGAGCCAGGCAGGGCCCTGTCTGTGCAAGTGTTGCTCTGAAGGAGCTCTGCTCACTTTTGGCAACGCAACCTCGGAATTGATACTCTCAAAAAATGATGAGCTTACTGGATTTCTTTAGCTTATAGCTGTTCAGTTGGCTAACAACTACCTCTGCCTTACTCACCTCTTCCTGATGGGTCACTACCCACTGTGCAGTTGAGGGAAACCAAGGCACAGTGGAGGGAAGGTTAATGTGTACACTAATTTGGGGCGCCCCTCTTCCAAGAGCTCTGGCTGAAGGCCCATCTCTCAGAGCCCTCGGGCTCCTTTGTTTTTCACTGACTTCAGGCTGGACCTCACATACCTCAGTTTGGCTGGGATACAACAACAAGGTCACAGAAACACAAGGAAGGAGCTAAGCTGTGGACAGGCACAACTCTTGCTCCCTTCCTGAAAAGCATAAAGATGCTGAGGTACCTTGAGCAATTGGCGACCTCAATCCTGGCCCCTTCACAGCCGCGGCCTCCACAGCGAGGACGAGGGCTGTCACATGAACGTGACCTACACATACAGGAGCCTGTGCTGTCCCCATCCGAATGCTCACAGAGTTGCCATGGGGACCAGGGCCCCAGTCTTCCATTTGTTGTCAGGTTTTTCACCTAATTTTAAAAGAAAAAAAAAAGGTCATTAATAGCAAGTTTACATTTCTGGAGACAGCCCCACAATAGAAACGCCAAACAAAGCTGCCGGGGGGATTAGGATGCAGCTTAGATGGGAGCTGTCTGTGCTTGCGAGCGGGATTCAAAACAGAGGGTTGTTTTCAGACAATGCCGCATCAATATTTACCCTCCAAATTCCACCCCGCATACCTAACGTGTGTGCACAGGCACCCCCGCCGACCCAGCCAGCACCACACCAGGCACAAGCACCCATCTGCCGTGCCACAAAACCATCGCACTCCCTTGTCCCACGCCGCACAGCTTCAGCCTACGTGGCTATGCTGGGTGAAAGCTAGACAGTGAAGGAGATGGTGGTGACTAGAATTAATGCTGGGGATCACAGAGTGGGCTAAAAAGCAAGAATTCATCTCAGGGCAACTTATAGACCAGACCACACTGCTTTTTCCTCTGCCCGTTGCTTCGTGCCTGTACAGCCCCAACCAGGCTGGGGCTTGAGCTCCCTGTGTGCTGCAATGAAGAAGTAAAAATATAGTAGTCCTGGCAAAGCAAAAGAATGAGAAACAGAACTATTTCTTCACCAGGTTTGGTGAAGATCTTCCAGGAAATGGGGTGTCAGAACTTGCTCCCCTGTGCCTTGTTTTAACCAGTGCTGCTAGGTGAGCCCTAAGACGAGGGCTGGGGGAGCAAGCTGCTAGGGCCCTTGCAACCCAGGCTGGCTTTGAGAAGATGAGTGCTGCCTGCTCCTCCTGGGATCACTCCCAGATCACCGCTGCCTTCTCATGCCCACTCCACCACTACTGAAAAATCCAGCAAGTCCAGGACCATGCTTGGGAGCCTGCACTGAACACCCCTGCCCTGCCTAGGTACAGCTATTTCCTTGCTACAGCCCAGCACCATGAGGCTCTCTTCCCCCTGTGGCTCCCTCCATCCTCCCCCCTCTATGTCCCAAAGTGCTGGGCCTCATGAGCAGGATGACATGGATGGCAGCTGCCTGCAAGTGGCTCATCCCCACTGGTGTCACCCAAGAGGCGATGGGATGCTCAGCAGCTTTCGTAAAACCACTGGCAAAGGCGGGCCTCGGTGTCACATGCCACAAAGGGTGAAGAAAGAAAGAGGCTGGGGCCCTGGCAAGCAGCCCTGGCCCCAAATCTGAGCTGGCTACCACCAGCAAACCCCACTGTGCCATGCTTCACTGAGCTCTGTAGTCAGCAGGATCAGTCCTCTGGGCTGCCCCAGGGGGGAAACCATTTCTCCTGCTCTACAGACAAGGAAACCGAGGCACAGAGAGGCTGTGAGCCTGCTCGGGAGCCATGCAAGGAGCCAACCACAGCCACAGGAGAAGTGCTTTCAAACACTCATCCTCTGAAACAAGCTGCTCTGCTTATTCTCCAAGTCTGGCACTATGTAAAACACTCACAATGCACCCCTGGTAGGCTGTCATCTTCCCCTCTCACCCATCTACAGCAGCACCAAAAATATGCAGCAGTGGCATGGAAGTAATTTAGATCTGTTACTGCGCTCATCAGGCTGTAGTCGGGGGGTTTCAAGCATCTGTTGCAAACCTTTGTTTGCAATAGATTATCATGTCGTTGCAAAAATTTGCTCTGGACTGCAGGTTACAAGGCAAGATTCCCAGAAAAGAGAACACTGAGTTTTGTTGTTGTTGTTGAATTTGTTGTTTTAAACATGTAGTTGGGTTGCTAAAAGTCAGAGGGAGAAAAAAAAAATCAAAATAACTACTTTGAGATATTTAATACCAGATTTTTATCTCCTTTTTCCTCCTGCCTTACAAAAGTCAAAATCCAAGTATTGGATCATTTCTATTCATTTTTGAGCCAGAAAGCCTTGCTGATTCCAGCAGGGAGTTCTGTTCAGAAATCAATGGTATGATATGGCCCGTGGCTTCAATTAAAAAAAAAAAAAGCTGACAAATAATTATTGGCTCGTAAGTGATACTGGGAAGCAACCCAAAAATTAAACAAATAAGCAGCCATAACCAAAATGCTGAGATTTATAAACATGTCACGTTGTGAGTGTGGGAAGTTTTTATACTTAAGAAATTACATATGGATTATCGTTCCATCTTAAAATTCATAAAAATATCTTCAAAAGAGCAAACTTGGGATGTGGGATAAAAACTCATACGCATTGATCTTTTTCAGGACTATCTTTACAAGGCAAATCCTTTGTAGCCAACACAGTGCCCATCAGACAGGGGGGACATCTTTTAAAATATCTGTGATCAAATGCTCTTCTCTCACCTGATATCACCAATTCCAGAGTTCTCATATTTTGTAAGCTGCCATACTCCACCCAGAGGCATCGTCTTTTCATAATCTTCCTTGTACCATCTAAAGGCTCAAGAGCAGGATGTAAAAATTCAGACTGACCATTCCTACCCCTTGCTGCCAGGATATTTTCAATGTTTATTCTGATATTACAGATAAGGCTGGAAGCGTTCCTTGTTCTCATCTATGCTTCCTCTTAGGATTTAGAAGTAAACTGCTCATAACTTTGCCAAGTTTCAGTTATTTCAGCTGGAAGTTTCCACATTGGCTGTCTGATAGAAGCTGAAAATTCTTGCAAGTTTCAGTCAAAATATTTCAAACATTTCTAAATCAAATCTAGGGAAAAAGGATGTCCATAAGTAGCAGCCTTTGCTTTGAAACAAGCCAGTGTTCAGAGCAAGGAATTGAACTTTATGTCATTGTAACACGATTTCCATGAAAAGTGATTCAGATTTGTCTAGGGTATAAAATCCTCGGCAGGTGGAGAGGAATATCTGCAGTTTTCAGAGAGTCACAGATTTTGATCTTGGCACCTGAAGTCCTCTATGTACCGTACAGTGTGGGCCAGAGCAGGATCATCCCAGCCACTGCAGCTCTGAGTGGCTGAGCCCCCAGGAACAGAGAGCAGGGTACAAGTCTTCTACACACCCCAAAAAAGGAGTGGGGAGACTGGTACTGGTGAGCAAGAAAATGGGGTGGCAGAGAGCAGATGCCAGATGACTGAGATAAGGGTTTTCTGGACACAGAGAGTGGGACTGGGATGAAAACCTATGAGGAAGAACATCGTTTGGCTCGGGATAAGCAGGACCACACACTTCATTGGGAATACTCGATTCTTGATTTGCTAAACACCACCACCAATGACTCCATGAGTTTGGCTAATGGAGTTTGTTAGCCATATCTAAAGTTCTTTTCCTGCTGGTGGCTCATGTTGGCATCAGTAAGGTATTGTAAAATAGGATGTGCTTTTTTTTCAGTTTTCCTAAAACCAAAAGGCACCTCACTGCCTTCACCCAAGCCTAGGAAGAAACAGCATGCAATCATGTATTCATGACTCCCTGATACAGCACATGCACAGACAGGGAGAAGAAGAACAGCATGTGCAATTTGTGCCCTATCACTTCTTAATATTAAAGTGTTTGACATTGCAACCTTAGCAACCAGCCTTTTGGAGCTCCTGGGTGTTACCTGCTAATAATATATATTAACCATTGCCCAAGGTACTGTATTAACACTGTATAATTAACCCTTTATCTAAGGTCCCTTAATATTAATGCTGGAGAGTGGGAATCTGTGGTACAATGTAGTGCTGTACAAAGATGTTCAGACTAGCCCTGAACAAGCATGTTTGCACAAGAGCCGCAATCAAGTTGTGTTAGTGTTGTGGTTGACTCATACAAATGCCTGGCCCCTGTAGGATATAATTCAATAATATGCCAGTTGAGGCTTTAAAAGTTGCTGCTTGCCACTCTCTTAGCTGTGCCAGGACATCTGTTTGTGGGCTAGGTTGCAGAAGAACTCACTGACATCTGGGTTAGGAAAAGTTTATTTGGGAGGGGTGCTTTTAATCTACGCCATGTCACACTTAAGTGTGATCTCACATACAGCTGTACCAGCACAGCTGAGAGCCTGGTGCTCAGCCCAGGAAAGTGGGGTGAGAAAAGCCAGGACTTCTTAAGATAGTAACTCATCCAGCTAACCTCCCAGGCAGGCCTTTTTCAACAGTGAAATCTGACATTGGGTCACTGCATTCCCCTACCTTTCCGGTGGTTATTTGCACATCCTGCCCTAGATTCTTGCCTCTGTTGACCACAAACTTTATCCTGCACTGAACACAAGGAAATACTTGGATATTGCTGATGTAGGTGCTTACATGAGCCATCCCACTCCATGCCAGAGGTGAATTCATTTCAGCAAGGAGCAGACGAGAAAGAATTCACTTGCACGTGGATTTTAAACAGCTTGGCAGCTCATCAATTGAAGAGCATGAGGCTGATGTATGTGCCAGAATCAGGGCACCTAAACGGAAAATAATCTCCAATGGCAATGCTAAAACAAATGTAAAACTAGCACCCCAAGAACAGCCAAAGCTCCTCAATATTCTGCACTGGATTTTTATGACCTTGAAACAATGATCTGGAGTAGCCTGTTCCCTAGCGTGCACCGCAGCAGACATGTTCAAACTAGAGGATTAACACCTCACACACCTATCAACAGACACAGGCATTAAGCAGGACAAGATAACAGCATGGGCAATCAAGAAGCACTGCATCCCAGTTCAACACAGGAGGGTTATAAACACACAAGCCTCTGAATCCAGCAGTGAAAAACTTAAGCCTGCCAAGCTGAGGATGGATTGAAATAATGACTAATATTTCCTGGGAAAATATCTGAGAAGTAAGGAAGATAAGGGGAATAAACATCCCAGCACCTCCAGACAGAAATAGCATACTGAAGATATAACCCATCCAGTCTTTTCTTTCTCTCTACTGGACTTAGCAGTATTAACATGCTAACTGACGTTAGATAATAACGATGGACATTAATGAGAATTTCTCCTCCCCCTCTATATATTTAACAGGACTGGTTTTCCTCCCCAGCCACCTTACAGGTACAGTTCAAGCAGCAGGAATTAAATTTGGCCAGACGGCTTCTGGGGATCACAGCCAGGAACTGGATATTGTCATCAGAGGAGGATGGGTGGGTGGGAAGGGAGCTGGAGAGCCAACTCAAACTGATTCAAGGACAGACACATTTTTTTAGCTGCTGCATCTCATGGAGACCAGAGCAAGGAAAGAAGAGCATCTCCTTGAAATATCACATAGATTTTGTTTAGAGCAGAGAGGTCCCAAATATATTTGTTTGCTCCAAAAGGGGCATCCCAAAGCTTGCATCCAGTCCTCCTCCTGCCCACCCATGCTTTGGTTTGCTAAATTAAGGTTAGAATTGAACACTCTTTCTCTCGTGCTCCCTCTCTTGGACATACTCTCCCCTTCCCTCTTGTTCTCTAGTACATAGTGCATCATTTTGTCCCCTCGGCAAACCATCCATACATGCCCTGTTTCTCTGCTGCTCCCTAGATGCCTCTTCCTGCCAGCACAACACTTCTTCACCAGCATTGCCTCCTGGGCCAAGCTCAGGGATCCAAGTGGAAAATGAACTGGATGCTGCCTGAGGATGCTGTACATCAACTATTCCTATTTCCCCGACCTGCCTGGAAGCCAAGGAAATGAAGCAACCCTGAGAAAGCTCAAGTTTCATCTGGGGCTTACACGGTTCTCAGCAGTAACCCAACAGCATGATCCAATCCTCTTAAGGCATGGGTGGGTATGAGGAGGACCGAATGCTTGCTTTGGGATGGCCCTTTTGGAGCCAATGAATACATTTGGGGTTTCTGTGCTCTAAACAAGTGGCTGTGCACAGATATTAGACTCTCCGTGCTCTCCCAACAGCCAGTCCTCACCAGGCTGCCACATACTCACATTCTCCCTCCCTTCTACATGTACACACACACTCACACACCAGTTTATATAAAATATTTCCACTCCTCCCACTTACTGGGCACTCAGTAATATTTTGAGTCCACAGGCTCATGTTGGAGCTGTCCTCAATGGTGGTGCATCGCTTCTGCTTGCTGTCCCAGCCGCAATAGGGGTCTCTGGCTCCTAGGCATTCCCTGCATGTGCAAAGAGAAAAGATTAAAGCTCTTTAAGACTGTCTAGCTCTAAGGACACATATTCAAGTATAGTGCTTGTATATGACAGCTGTCAACCGCACCAAGGCTCAGCAGAAGAAACAATTTCTTCTAAGCAGAGGTTTACCTGCTTGGAAGGGAAGAACAGCTGAATAGAAGGGTGATAGAACACAAAGCAAGTATCACTCATAGAAGCTGTAGATTAAAAATCAGTTCACTCCTCTCCAAGGCCTAGGGAAAGAAAATGACTTTACAAATTTTAGTCAAAGAACACTTGTCATTGAGATATCTTTGTGGCCCCATGTAATCACTCAGCAGGCCAAATCTCACACAAAGCAACCTCTGTGAGTATGTTTTCTGACACTGTGTCCATCCAAAGGGGTTAGACAAGCAGAATTAGCCAATGGACCAGTAATAAAGGCTTTCTATTAGTCTTGGCCTTTGCTGGAACAATGGTTTCATTTATAATCCCAACATCAAGATGTCAGTTTGGAAAAGTCACAGCAGAACATTATTTCTAAGCTTTTGGCTGCTTTGAACACTGCTGTATTCATTTTCCTCCTGAATCCATATTTACAGGCTAAGTGTGTGTTCCCAACATGTGAGCTGCTAAAGAAAAATAAGTAAGGTTAGTACTGCCACTAAACAGAGAAGGACAGTTACAGAATTAGTCTGTACCCATAAAATTCAGCTGTACTGGTTGTTCCCATTAGTTGTTTTCAGATTGTTAATTTTCATTAAGAAAACATAACAGTACAAGCTACATCACGCATGTATCAGTGAAAGACGAAGAAGAGAGGACTAAACTTAAAAAGATTTGCGAGATGATTTTTTATTCCAGTGATCCATTCTCTTCTATCGCACAAAAGGCTGATAGGATCTTTCCAAAAGTCTCAAATGATTTGAAAACTGCCAATTAGGCAGCAGCAAGGGACCAAGGGGAAAAATTCGGTTCAAGAAGCTAAACAGGAGAGTAATAAAATTTATTCTTAGGGTAGGTATCAGTATGATAAAAGAAACGTCAAAAAAAAAAAAATAATCAAATGCAATGAGATGTGAACTGTTCCCTCCCAGAAATCTTTGAAATCCTATTAGCCTGTAATCAGCCGCAAATGAAAAAGCAAGTCCCTTAAGCACAGCTGAAAACACTCGATCAGTCTGTTCTGACTCCACAGCAATTTGCCCCAAAGCAAACCCTCGACTGTCTGGTACCCATTGCTTTATATATATATATGTATGCATTTGTGTGCATATATATAGACACACACACAGACACATGTGTATATATTTATATTTTAATTATGAGTTTCCAGTTTGGTCCTACATGGCAGCTCCTACATTTCCTCTACTAAAGATTTCACACGCAGAGTTGTTAGGAACATAACTTTATCTTTCATGCTTTGGGAAGGTAGTTACAATGACTGTCTCTACTACATTTTTCCTTCAGCTGCTTCAACACACCCAAGAAAAAGGCAAAGATGATTTTGTCCCAGCCCCAGGCAACAGAACATCAAATATTTGCCTAGAAAAGACTTGGGATCCTCAGTCCAAGGGCACAGAAGGGACATGCGCTGCTTTGCTCATTATTCTCACTAAGGACCCCTATCCTGCTGTTTTGGCAGCCCACACTGCCCTCGTCCACGAAGTGGGGCTGGTGCCACGTCCAGAGCTGCCCTTGCCATCCAGCAGCCCCTCAGTTGGGGCAGCACCCAGTTAATGATGGAGCAGACACGGGGGCATCTGCCCAGCCTCTTGGTAACTCAGCCCTTCAGGAGGAAACTGGGCAGTTCCCAGAGAGAAGAATAAGAATAAGAAGAAAGCAACAGGGGGGGAGAGGGAGGAAAAAAAGCCCTGCTTTTAGTTAGAGAGCCTTTTGGCCAGGCTTTCAGACCCCGACACCACGTACATGCTATTGTTTCCAACTGCATGAAGCCATTTCACTGGGCACCCAGCGAGCTGAGAGAGGTCATTGTAATTCATAACAGGGAAGGCTGTTGCAAGCATCACCCTATTATGATACACATTTTCCCCGAATTTAATTTATAGGAAAACATGTGCCGCATAAATTCAGGAAATAATCTCCATATGTTCTGTGCTGCAGCCCTCAGCCACTCCGCGGGCTGCAATATATCCCGGTTAGGCACTGACCACTTTTGCTGGCACTATCATAATGTATGTCATGGAGCTAATGTGCTGCTCTTGGCCGCCAGCGCCGGGCTACAGATCCCTAACGGTGCACTCAATGAATCACAGCCTGCGCTCCCCCGCCGCCACCGCTGACCCCCAGCTGACGGGCCATCACTAACCGAGCTGCAGAGCCGCCAGAAGGCCATGGTGATGGGCCCTGGCAAAAACCCCGCACGGCGCTTGTTGGTAGGGAGCTACGGCCACGCCACGCCATTCCTGCACTCTGCATCCTGGGTGTAATGAATTCCTACCCAGCCCGGGCTCCGCTGGGTTGTCAAAACGAGCACTCTATAATTTAACAACCATCAAAGCCCAGGACTTCTCCCCGTCTGACGGCAGGCCCTCAAAGCCATATGAAATCTAAAAACAAAATAGCTATGCTGTCTGCCTCCCTTCAGGATTTGGAGCCCACTCATCTGCCTCAGCTCCGGTGAGAAACCTATTATATCAGCTGACAGCGATACACTTAAGGGTGAGGAGGAATGTATTTACTCACACACGATTTGCTGCAGTTTTTTCCCCTTTTGTAAGCAGGAAAAGCCTTACAATGTGCATTAATGCAAGAAAACAACATTTCTGGCAAATACTTCCAGTGAACACTTCAAAATCCACCCTAATTTATATCCTTACAATATCTTTAGAATATATATCCTTATTTATGTCATTAAAGGATAAAACCACACCAGCAAACACACACTAAAATACAAATATATGTATGCATACATGCATGCACAGATCAAAATGCTGCAGAAAGATGCTGTCATTCTTAGTAGATCAGGCACCATGGTGTGGAAAATGTGAAGATATCATAGCATTTCCCTATGCTGAGAACACAAAATAGATTGAAATGTTTACATGTAAATACCATTTTGTATTATGACACCACTGAAAAGTTTCACACAGGCCGGGGGACGCAAAGTCTTGCAGGGCACTATGTAAATACTGTGAAATACGATACAAAGGAGTTACATGATATAATGAAATTCTGATGTTTCAAAGGCAATGGGACTTCTGCCACAGGCTCAGTGGGACCAGATTTCATACCACACATACAGGGAACACCACACTTAGGTCTCCCCACTGGCAGGCTGGGAAAGCCTCAAAAAAGTAATGACACACTATTGTCTCCCATCATAATTCACATAGGTAGAGAGAATCCCAGAAGATTACCCAGGCATAGCAGGTTAACACTGGCAATATTAATGCTAATGACCTAGTTAATGAAATCCCACAAAGTGGGATACTTGTGGAAGTAAGACGGTGATGATACCGCACGGTCTATACTCCCAGTTCCCCTCTGGCCATATACTAACAGTAGCACATTCAGCGAGGACAGAGGAAGAATACCTCTTGACAGGTATCTAAGAGGTTGGATTTATTAAGACAGGGCATTACTATCAATAGCAATTCACTTTAATTCATTGCCTCGCAATAAATGTCTTATCTGAGGCATAAAGGCATACACTGACAACACTCAATTGAAAAACAATTCCATTTGTATTTCTTATCCAGGGTATTTTTCTCTCTGGTTCCTTATTCTCACTTACCAAGGACATTTGCATGAAAATAAGATCTTACTCATAAGAGCTCACCTGCTGCCTGCTGTTTGGGAGCTGTAAGCCTCCCTGTTGTTGGCTGTTGCAATCATTTCTACAGCAGTGATCTGGGATAACACAAAGGATTAAGACTCTGCAAGTGGAGCGTTATCCACAGCCCACCGAAGTCAATGGAAACTCTTACCTACGACTCAAAAGAGTTTTTACAGGGCCTTTGAAGCCTGGTGCTGCTGAGCCTTCATGAATAGCATGTGCTGTAAAAAGGCTTCTGCTTCCAAGATGCTGGTCCTGCCCAACATCTCATTTTTTTGTAATAGCCTGAATTAAGTCTTCTTTCAGAATCTTCATTAAAGCTTAAATGTCTGTAGTTCAAAAGTTTTTCATATCCACTTTAATTTGCTCTGGGTCTAGATAACTTCATCTTTTGGTCATTTTTCCCAGAGAGTTAAAAAGCTTTAGATCGTGTAATAAATGGATCATCAAATCAATAGAACCAGACCCAAGAGATTAAGCTTTAAGAGACCAAAGGAATGAATTACTAGAGCTTCTTCCCATTCTTACTACCAGACAGAAGACACAAAAACATGCCATTTTGTACCAAAAGCCACAAAACTGTCATCCAGAGCATTCACACTGAAGGACTCTGCTCCTCTCATCTGCCAGGACATGCTTGCTTTCCCAGTTTTTGTTTCCTCTCTTTTCATTTACCTCTTTCTCACTCCTTTTTGACGACTAAAAGCAAGTGGGAACGGAATGACAGGATGCGATAACCTGCAGAGGCAGAGCTCTAGACCCAAAGACTGAGAACCTCTCTTCTCAAACTGCATTTGCCACCAAATCCCTGCCACTCTGCCAGGAGAGGGTTCTGCAATTTTGCTGATGAGTTTGGAACCTGCAGCGAACATTACATTTACCAGGGAAATACAATAGCTATCACAGCACCTAGTCCTTTAAACCCCCATGGGCACCACCAGTTATCTTGTTAGAGGCAGAGAGACAGCAGTGCTATCAACTGGTGTGGGGCAAACACTGATAAGCCTGATCCTGCAAGGCACTGTGCTCAGCACCTCAGGAGCACAGGCAGCACAAGACCTCCCCTTGCTCTTTCTGGGGAATAAGACCTCAGAATTTCACACCGTGTGCAATTTGTTGCCCTCTTTGAGCAGGTAACTCTAAAGGAACAGCCCTTTTCGAGCACTAAGGGGGTTTTAGCTGTGTCTGTTTGTTGGAAGCACGAGG